TCTTGGAGATGTTTGGGAACGTTGGAGGGGGGGGAGTTGGAGATGCTGGTGGGCTGTGGGTTTTGGAGGAATCCAAAGGGTTTGGGGCAGGTCTCAGGGGGCTCTGTGTTTGGGGTGCTGGCTCAGCCCCCTTTTTACCTCCCCAGGACAGCTCAGGGCTGAGGCTCTGGAAGCGGCGCTGGTTTGTGCTGGTTGATCTCTGCCTCTACTACTACAGGGGTGAGGCCAGGGGCAGGGGATGGGCGTGTGGCGGGGATCAGGGGCTTCTTAGGGCTCCCTGGGACAGGGTCTGAGGGAACTCAGGGAGTCAGTGGAGCCTCTGCCATAAGACTGGGGCTTTGCAGAGTTTGGAGAGGTCCCTGGGGACCTCACTGAATCCTCCCCTGCCCTCAGACAGCAGTGAGCAGCGAGTACGGGGGGGGCTCCCCCTACCTGGCTACAAGATCCGTGTCCTGGCCCCCAACACCGGCAGCCCTCGCTTCCTCTTCACGGTCAGTCCAGGTGGGGGAACTCCAAACAGGGGACAACAACAGCTGCCGTTCTGCAGCAGAGGTTGGGACCCCAAAGCCCAGCTCCCCATGTGGATCTTGGGGTGCTGTGGCTGAATAAATGCTGGGAGGAGGGGGGAGGAGGTCCAGGCCCATTGCTGGCTCATTGCTCCCCCAGGTCGAGCACCCTGGGATGCGGAGCTACGTGCTGGGGGCTGACAGCCCTGAGGAGCTGGGGGCCTGGATGTGCAGTTTGCGGCACTCTGCTTCACCCCTGCGGGGGTGAGCCCCAAACTGGGAGACACATGGGGGGGGATGGGGGCTATGGGGGGTCATGGGGGATATAGGGGCCACGTGGGGAAGAATATAGAGGGGCTAAAGGGGGCATGGAAGGGGTGATGATAGGCTATAGGGGGCTATGGGTGGTTTGGAGGGCTATGGGGCTTTGTGGGGGGTTACGAGGAGGTCATGGGGAGCCATGGAGAAGTCGTGGGTGGATACAGAGAGGCTGTGTAGGGGTCGTGGGGGACATGGAGTAGATAAGGGAAGGCTACAGGAGGTCATGAGGACCTGTGGAAGCCAAAGTGGGACTATGAGGGGTTATGGAGAGGCCACGTGGGCTAAGGGGGGCAATTAGGGATTGTGGGGCACAAAATGGGGATCGTAGAGAGTGATGGAGGGAAATGGGAGTCCATGGGGAGCTATAGGGGGGATCACAGGGCTCCCACAGGCAGGGCTGGGGGCTATGAGGGCTTTAACCCCGCCCCCCAGCCCGGCCCCGCCCCGCCCCGCGCTCCCGAGCACGCCCGCCCCGGAGGAAGCCCCGCCCCACGGTCAGCTCCGCCCCTCCGTGGCAGCGACCAATCAGCAGCTGACACCGCCGGCGGTAGGAGGGCTTAAGGATGCAAAAGAAGGCACCGCAGCCAATCAAGAATCGACTTGTCCAAGGGAGCCCTCCGATTGGCTGCTGGCATCTGGAGGCACTGCCGCGCAGGCGGCAATCAATGAGATCTCTCTGCGGCCGTGGGAACAAAGCATTGTGGGTAGCAGGGAGCTCGAGGGTGGGCGAGAAGGCGTGGCCAACGGGACGGCGCGGCAGCCAATCAGAATCACCCTGCTGCACGCCAGCTTTTGAGGGCGGGGCCAGCGCAGAGCCACGCCCAATGAGGGGGTAGAGTCCGGCGGTGGGCGGGGCTATATATAACCACGCCCCCAAGACGCCCTGCCCCGGAAAGATGGCGGCGGCGCGGGCAGGAGGCGGTGCGGTGCTGCTGCGGCGGCTGCAAGGCGGCGGCGGCTGCAGGGCCCTCAGCGGGGCGCGGTGAGCGGAGCCCGGCCCCTCCCTGCCCGCCCCGCGGCCCGGAACCCCCCCATGGCCCATCATCTCCCCAGGCTCCATCATTCCCCTCAGGTCCCATCATTCCCCAACGCCCCGTTTCTTTCCCAGGCCCCATCTTTCCCTTCAGGCCCAGAAACCCGCAGCTCCCATCTCTTCCCCGTCAGCTCCCATCTCCCCCCCTCAGCTCTCCCCGCCCCCCAGAACCCATCTTCCCCCTACAAGGCCCCCAACCCCCCCCCAGTCTTTCCCTTCAGCCCCCATCTCCCCCTCCAGCTTCCATCTCCTCCTGTCTCAGCCCTATTTCCCCCAGTCTCAGCTCCCTTATCTCCCACCCCATCTCCCCCCGCCGTGGTTCAGGGCCTGCTGTCACCCCATGCTCTCGCTGAGCAGCCAGGGCCGCTGACCCCACGCTGTTAATACATTACCAGGCCCTGCCGCTCTGTGGGCAAAGGTCTGACCGAGTGCACTGCCTCTGTGTCATCTCTGTTGCCCCACATCCCTGAGCAGGGCCACCCTGAAATGAATGAGACCTCTCCCTGGGGAGCACTGGGTGGGGGGGGGGGGCATGTAGCCCTGGGGCTGGGTTGGGAATGGAACAAGATCCCTCCTCTGCTTTCCATTTTCCCCCCACATCAGACCACAGCCATTGTGCCCAGCTGTGTCCCCCCCTCCCCCCCCTCCAGCCCTGCTGACGGCGTGGTCCTGCAGGGCATACTCACGGGATGCTGAGGGCAGCTGGTTCCGCTCCCTGTTTGTGCACAAGGTGGATCCCCGCAAGGATGCCCATTCCAATCTTCTGTCCAAGAAAGAGACCAGCAACCTCTACAAGATCCAGTGTGAGTGACCCCACAGGCAGAGGGTGCACACCCCTCCCAGGCCCTTGCAGCTTGATAACGCAGTCGCTCATCCTACTCCCTGTTGTGACATTGCGTCTTGCCCTCTTTCCCCCACAGTTCACAACGTGAAGCCAGAATGTCTGGATGCCTACAACAGCCTGACGTGAGCTGGGGGACTTCCCACTGTCTCAGCAGGGGCTGGGAGGGGTCAAGTGGGGATGTCAGGAGGATTTTGGAATCTCTTGTGCTGGGCTGAGAACGCAAATGGGGATG